CGCCCTCCCCTTCTCTCTCTCTCTCTCTCTCTCTGTCTCTCCTCCCTTCTGTGTTCGCTCTTACCCTCTGTCCCTCCCTTTCTCTCCTTTTCTCTTTCTCTGCCCTCCTCCCCTTTAAACCAAGAGTGGTTCTAGCGGATATGAGGCTGCTCCGGTAGCAGCGGAAGTAGAATTCGAGATTTCGCAGTGCTGTACTGAAGATGAAATATGTTTTCCTGTTCGTCTTGGCATTCTCAGGTGGGTAGAGAGTTGAGGATTAATAGAAGGATGGTTTTGTTTTTGGACTTTTTTTCCAGAATACATTTGTGTATTGTAGTTGGGACCGGTTGGACTTTATAGAGTGTGTGTGTGTGTGTGTGTGTGTGTGTTGACGTTTTTTACATGATACATGCCAGAACTGTGAACTCACAAAATGACTGAAACTTTTTTTTTTTAAATAGAATACATTACATTTGATTCTTGCATGTTTGTCATTAACAGGCTGCTTTTGTTTGAACAGTAACGTTACCTGTTAGAATATTTCAGAATGTTTCTGTCAGTTTTGCCTGTCTGTGTTCTCTCTTACCCTCCTTCCTTCCCTTTCTCTCCCTCTCTCTGCTTTTCCCTCCTCCCTTCTGTGTTCTCTCTCTCTCTCTTTAGTCTTACCTCTCTATCTCAATGGGAGGAGAATAGATGATTTGCATAAGATCTTTTCATCATTCTTAAAAGGGAATGGATGTTTTGGTATCTTTGTTACCTATTCTCACAATAAGATTAAGATATTCTCAGTCCTTCCAAGATTGAATGAATGATTGTCTGATGAGATGAGAGAATTGGTATTGTGAAGTCCTTGCAAGGCACTAAAACAAATACAATGCTAAATAAAAAATCTCTAATTGTCTATGACAGTTGATCTGTACAGGATGGATGAAACAGCAGAGTAGTATATTTCAGCAAATTGTTTTAACACATTCAACTAATGCCTATTTGCTAGGGGTGTGACGAGATCTCGTGGCACGAGATCTCGCGAGATCCGATGTGTCTCATGAGATCTGACTGGTCTCGCGAGAACGTTACGATATCCTCGCGCAGACCTTTCAAGATATATTTGCATTACACTGGCTCGTTCACAAGTGGTGGTATGCAAGATATTTTGTGTTCACATCAGGCAAGTGGCGGCATGATAAGCGGGAAAATTACGCAGTGTAGTCTTTATCCGGTCATAAAAACAGAATTCACAGTTTAACGCGGAATGTCACGGAATTTGTCAAATTTTTAATGAATTAATCAAAAGTAGGTCATTACACTTAAATCACGATATGGACTAGTATCTGTAAATATTAAGCCACAAAAGTCAATTTAAATATGAATCCTGCATGTTCTGCCTGTCTCGGTTTATGAATGGCGCAGACGCGTGGTTTCATTTACTACACACACTGAAGCGCGCGTGACACTCGCGGTGATTTCAGCATCTGCCGTCTCACTAAATGAGGTCGTAAACTAGGGATGCACGATATATCGGCCACCATATCGGTATCGGCCGATAAATGCTAATTTTTTCTGTTATCGGTATCGGCCCGATAAGAAAATTTGGCCGATATCTTAAAGCCGATAAATAATGCATTATTTCCTTCAGAGACACTTCAGATGTGCGCTGTTCGTTTGCAGCCTTTTGTGCAATTGTACGTTGTAATATTGTGTTTATTTGATGTATATCTGATTTATCTCATATAAAATGCGTTTGGTTAAGTTAAAAGAGCGCTTCAGTTTACCGGTGATCATCTTTAGCTCAGCGCACGCAGCTCAAACAGCAGTGCACAACATTAATAACTATGATTGGGAATGTCGTGTATATAACATTCTAATGAGAACATTATTATAATAAAACATTGTGAATTCTTTGGGTTTAGTTGCTGTGTTTCAGCGCGTTGTTATGGGAAGAGCGCATCCACAACAGGATCACACATTCTGACTATAGCACGCAATAACTGCGTCATTTTGTACATATATAAGTTGTAATATTATGTTTATGTTGTATTAATATTAATCTCAGGATGCATTTCCTTGAGTTAAATAAGCTGCCAGAAAAACGCTTCAGTTTACCGTGTTCATTCAGCTCTTCAGCTTCAGCACGCGCAGCTCAAGCGGCTGCTATTTAAAACAGTGGTATTAATTTGTTACTTTTTCAAAATCATTGATACATTATTAATAATAACAACCACTTGTATAGTATTTAAGCAGCGATAAAGGCATTGCATTATGAATATACTTTATTTTAATGAAAATTATAATAATAAGAACTCAGATAAACCATATATTGCCGTAGTCGTGTGTTTATTAGTCACGTTGAATCAATGAAAGCAGTTGAATCTTCTGTTTATTCAGCTGCAGCGATAGGCATTTTCTGGGTTTCTTCTGCGAGGCGTATTTGGAGTTTCAGTGCGAGAGCGCCCTCTGGCCTTTGGATGAAGATTTACTGCTGATCACAGAACCGTGCTTCACTGAAAGATACGCGTGACAATCGCAGCTTCTGTCGAATCGCGATCTCGATTCCATTTCGATTTATCGTGCAGCCCTAATATATAGCACATGTTGAATGTCATAAATAATCAAATTCATCCATCCAATGCACGCATGTTATTTGTAAATTATATCTTATTTAGATATTTAGCCAGATAAATTAAAAGTAGCTGGAGATTACCTGTCTTTTGAGATTTGAGGACAATTAACTCTCTATTTTATTCAGTGTATTTATTCCGTGATGAGATGGTCAGTTGGTCATTGAATAACATGGCAGGGGAGTTGAAGAACTTTTTAATTAGACTAGAATTGAATGAAAAAGAATCAAACGAAAAAGAAAATCCTTTCATAGGGATGCCCTGTGCAGACTGTGGATCTGAAGGCTGTGTTTGCTGTTTGACAGCACGCCGTTATTTCAATCAGGACTTAACATAAGCATTCAACTCACTCAATTGAAAACATCATATTACCTGTGTAGGGCAGCAACAGTCTGTAGAAGCAGAAGGGAATCGCTACGATAGACTGAAGTGCCAAATATAGTACTTCTGCGTTACTGTTGGAATACATAAGAGGAAAACTTGAGAAGCACTGTTCAAATCTAAACCATAATAAATACTTTCTTTCTGTCCCAAACAGTCGCTGTGTGTGATGCTGAGTTGAAGTTGGAGGCAACTGACGGAGAAAATGTCACCATATCCTTCAAAACTGCTGAACTGAAGAGAGCTGATCGAGTGAGCATAACTTTTACAAGAGAAAATCGGAAAACCTTGATTGCGCAGTACTGTCGCTGTGTCCATTGCAGAGACTGTGATGTCGTGGAAACACCTGGAGTCTTACTGCGAGTTGAAGGAACTGTGCCCTTGATTCTTCTAGATGTCAGCTCCAATAACTCAGGCCTCTATGAAGCACGAGTCTTCATTGGAAACGATGTGTCTGAGATAAAAGCTACACTTGTTGTCAAAAGTATGTAATCAAGATATACAGTATCTGTTTACCTGTATCAGGATTATGAGAAAAATTATGTAAGTGTTCACGATTGTGCTCAAAAAGTTGTAAAAAGTGTTATTCCTACTTGAGCCGGAAAGATTTGTGGCATTGCAAAGAATTTTATCTGCTGTTTTCATAAGAAATCATATTCATAAGTTACTTTACACAGTAGCATGGTTTAAAATGGCAGAGACTGTGATTCCAAACAGGAATTTTTTTTTTTTTAAAGCCGCAGTTGAAAAGAATTATAACATTTAACAAATAACATTTAGGTGATCTTACTGATGTGAGGAATCAGATGTGACGCATTGTTTGATCCACAGCATGAACTCCTCAAGATACAAATTTGGAAAAGAAGAAACTATTGCTTGCACAACTCTTTGGATAATTTGTGTAAAAACCTGTGTAAACGTGCAGATCCTTTATTGACTCGAAAAGAGTAAAAGCTTGTATGATTATTTTTGATTTGGCAGATGGTAGCAGTTGCTGAAGTAGGATTGGTCAGTTAGGCCTGTCAAGATGGCTGTTTTTTGGGTTTTTTGCCACTGACTACATGATGATAATATAATAGCATAATAATGTAAGTGCACCCTTTGTTGTATTTTACAGAACCTGCATTTTCCTCCACTAAAGCACCACTACAGATCTCCACCCCAAATCCTCCCAACTCCTCTGGACACCTGTGGCTGTACGCTTTACTGATTCCTCTAGTCATCTTGGGTGTGGTTACTTGTTCCTTCTGGAGGAAGAAATGCAGGAGGGCAAGTATTACTTGTGTTTATTCTTTTATAGATTTTTCTAATGATCTGGGACTGTATTCACCAAGAATTATGAGGCTAAAAGTTGCTCCTAATGTGGAAATATTGTTCTTAATTGTAGGACTCGTATATTTTATATCTAAGAGTGATTCCCCAAGTAGTTAAAAAAAAAAGAAAAAAAGGTCTTAGACAAAGTAAATTTTTCTAATTCTAAAGAATTAATGTGGCTAGGAGAAATTAATTTGCCATTAATTGACCATTAGTCAGTGTTTAATTATGATGTTCATGTATGGAGCAAGTCGATGAAAGTTAATCCAAGTTTATTGTAAAACTCAAACCAGGAGCAGAATGATTGCCTGTTTTTAAACCAGTTGAAGAATAATGTGGTACATCTAAAAATGATAATTACTAAATTATTTGCTTGTTTTGTTGTTTAAAATAATGTTAAAAGGGTCTGTTTTAAATGTATATGCCTGAAATGTATTTAGCTTTGTCTTCTGCACCTTTTTATTTGATTTGATTTGCATCTTGTAACAGTGTTTTGTGTGTTGACTGTCAGGAACGTGAGCCATTACCTGATGCTGAAGAAGCCAGAGAAACCCCTGCTGTCTCCAGGTATGAAGCTCCTCACTGATCTGTGGATTTCCTCGGGTCTTTTTATGTATCACATGACTTTTTCATAAAGGATATTTGCCATGTTGGGCCTCACTGAAGTCAGTTTTCTGTTGTTTTCTTTACAGACACAGCATCTTCAAAAACAATAAGTGTAAAAGAAATTGCAGGGACTGTGTAGCTGTCTCCTTTAAGGCTTGTAGAGAAGACACTGAAGATCAACTCGTGGATACCTGACTTGATACTGAGTGTCTTGACTGCAAGCGGTGTCTCACACTGCCTCTTGAACTGAGGCGTCAAAACCACATTTAGTCTTTTGAATTTGTGAGAAAATGGACAATTCAAAAGATGAGACTTTGTTTCTTATCAGAAGTAACAAAGCATTTTGCGATTATTGAATGGGAGGTACATTACAAATAATGTTAAATTAATGAAAAATCGTGGACCTGGCAACCCTGGCTTGAACTTTTTGAAATACTGCATTAAGTTCTACACGACACATGCCTGGCGGGATACAGTCGGCCCGATCATCAGCTGTTTCTTAACAAAGATAATTGCTTTTATCTGCCAAAACCGGTTACTGGCCGTTACATACTAAATATCATTCCAAACACTTTAGCCTTAATCAGACTCTTGGTCTAGATCTGGATTTTGTGCATGTCTGATTGGAATCTGATCATATTTAGTAAAACTGTGTGAACACGAGACACAACCGTGGTCACGTTAACATCTAGAAGCAGTCTACTCTAGACAACTCAGCATCATTGCCATAGAAACCAATGCAGATATTCCAGAAAATGAAAGACAATCCATCATTTAGATATGATTTCAATCAGATACACAAATACTCTGATTTGGACTGAGAGTGAGAATGTAGCCTTTGAGGCCAGTGAACCTTTTTATAGAGTGAAAATTGAGAGAAAATGTATTCACTCAAAAATAAATATTTAATGGGGAAAGTAAGATTTCTCTGTACTTCTTTGTGTGCACAAATTTTTATAAATGTAATGTCATTTTTTAGTATCTTGTCGTTGTTGATTTGTTGTCAAAGTCTATCTCTATTATAATGATATATTTTAGTGCCACATATCTTTCCCACAACTTTGATCAACTGGTGTTTTCTCATCCGATTGGTGAAATAGTGTAAAAAATAATAATAATATAAAAGTACAATTTCACTCTGCCATAGTATCATAAATGTTAAATAATGAACATTCATTCTAAAGTTTGTACAGTTTAGATGAAAGCTACTGATTGACAATACAAATTATTTCATGAAAATATCGATTTATAGATTCATGATTATAAGTTATAATGATGAATAGATACAGTTATAATTTATAACTGTATTTAAATGTACTTAAATATTTTTAGAATTAAAAAATGTGTCATACCTCTAACTGCAGCTTTTAAAGAATTAAAAAATCTAACAAATCATGACACTCAACTTGAATTGAGTGTGAAGAACAGTGCCTCGAAGATTAAAAAAAAAAAAGTAAGTTAATGCATTTTTATGTTGGTATTTTTTGCAAATAAAATGTTATTCTTCACAGAAATAGGACATGGTTATTAATAGTTATAATTTAAACACAAAATGAATTCAACTGCTAGCACCTTAGCAGTAACATCCCATTACATTCAAATCACTGTACGCTAAAGGACATCATTATTATCTATTGTAAGGTTACAGTAGTAATTCAGCAGACAAATATTCACATGGTTTTATAATGGTTTTAGAGGGAGCTAGGGCAGACAACAGCACACCCATTACAAAAATTAACAATGGATAATTATTGTGAGGGGGAAAATCATATAACCATTATAATGCAATAACATGTTAGGTATTAGGATTTTACTATAAAATTGTTGTAATGATGTAATTGTTATTGTAATTATCATGTTCTTGTTATGTGGGTTCTATTCATAAAACATGAGAGGAGAGCACTGTGACAGAACAGAATAATAAACAGCACCTGGATACATGTTTGTTAATCGTCTTTTTAATACCGCCACCAGAACACACGCAGACAGGAAGTAACAACTTCTCCACATCCACGACATAACACTGCCCTCTAGTGGGACGTTGATGTAACTAGCATCAATACTCACAGACTGAGTTACTTTAATAACCTATCTATTAGAGAGTGGGATAGTCTTACAGATCCAAAACAGGTATGATAGTTTTTTTGTGGGCGGAGCCTATCTGGAGGCAGAAAATTACGGTTTTCAAGTTTTCAAGTCTATGGAATAAAAGAATAAAAATAGGTCAATTTGATTTTATATTTCAAAATTCTGACTTTATTCTCGCAATTCCGAGATTATATCTCAAAATTCTAATAAGGAAAAACAACTTTGTCGTTCTCTTTCGGAAATGTATATTACCCTCCTGAAACAACATACACACAAAATCGACATATTTTGTTATGTTTTATGTCCTAGGTGATCGATTTGACCCACCTGTTTAAATAAACAAAGAGAGACACAATTGTGCTGCTTTCAGTAATGGTGTCGCTCTTGTAATCCTTTATTACAATAATTCAAAGATTGTATAATTAAATCACAATGTCTTATGTCACCTTACATGTGACTCACTTAAACCAAACACTAATAAACGTGTTGCATAACACTTGTAAGAGTTTTCTTACACTCAATCTGTATTTCTGTCATCTAACTCAATACCATCTTCCTTTACTTCACAATATACTACAGTCTCTCTCGTATGTGCAAATGACCACTGTACCACTGTATAATCAACCACTGTATAACTGAATAGTTGAGCGAACCATTGGTTACACAATATGAACATTTAAACTGAATTACTATATTCGAACACGCCCCCACATGTCTATGTCACAATGTGGGAAGATTTGCATAACGCCACCCAAATGTTCAAGCAAATGTAGCACACCCACCGTCCGACTGGTGGTGCTGCAGCAAGTTTTCTGTTTAAATAAACAAAGAGAGACACAGTTGTGCTGCTTTCAGTCATGGAGTCGCTCTTGTAATGCTTTATTACAATAATTCAAAGATTGTATAATTAAATCACAATGTCTTATGTCACCTTACATGTGACTCACTTAAACCAAACACTAATAAACGTGTTGCATAACACTTGTAAGAGTTTTCTTACACTCAATCTGTATTTCTGTCATCTAACTCAATACCATCTTCCTTTACTTCACAATATACTACAGTCTCTCTCGTATGTGCAAATGACCACTGTACCACTGTATAATCAACCACTGTATAACTTTCCAAACTGGCACCCAACATCCTCTTGACGGGCATTAAGAGCCGCGACCCAGGCAACATCGTTCTCTTGGTCAACCTGAATTCCTTCCCATGTAGCCTGGACCACCTCCTCTGTGAGAACCTCAGTACATGCAGTTATAAACTTATCGATATCAAGGGAACATCGAGAGAGCATGTCCGCATCCGTGTTCACTTTGCCTGGACTGTAGCGAATGTCGAATCTGAAGCGAATGTCGAATCCCACCCACCTATGTCCAACAGCATTGAGTTTGGCCGTCCTGAGGACATACGTCAACGGGTTGTTGTCTGTGAAGACTGTAAAGTGTGGTGCATAGAACAAGTAATCGCGGAACTTCTCACAGACCGCCCATTTAAGTGCCAGGAACTCCAGCTTTCCGGAGTGGAGCCTATAACTTCTCTCGGCGGGAGTCAACGTCCTGGAGCAATAGCCAATTACTCTGAGCCTGCCCTCTTGCTGTTGGTAGAGCACAGCCCCAAGACCCTGTTCAGATGCGTCTGTATGGAGCACAAATGGAAGTTCAAAGTTCGGGTAAGCTAGTACCGGAGGGGTGGTTAGAGCCCCAATGAGTCTCTAACCATCGGTAGCCTCCAAGGGTGTCGATAAGGTCCTGGATCCTGGGAAGTGGATGTCGGTCTGGTCTTCTGATTCAACAATCTGTAGTCTATACACAGTCTCAGCGTACCATCTTTCTTCCGGACGCACACCACCGGGGCTGCATACGGAGACTTCGACTTGACCACCCAACCCCGAGCTAGTCGCTCGAGTCGCTCTTGTAATGGCCTCTTCTCCGCGACTCACCGTTAACCACACAGTCCTTAATCAGCACAGCGTCTCCCCCTACTGTCCACTGAGATTACTACGCATCACCATTCAACATAATAACAGCAAACACATTGGGATACATCAATCAAATGTATGGGAAAAAACAAATTATTCATTCCTGTGACTACACATACAGGGTGTCACATAGACCTATTGTTTAAATCGAATTTATGCTTTAAAAGTAATTTGTCCATTTAAACATCTGCGTTTAGCTTCAAATGGCGTCTTTGACGACAGTATTCTATAAAAATTTCTTTTTTTATAGATCTTGACATCAAAAGGCACAAAAATATTTTTTTCTTTTATTCCATCGATTTTACCCATTTATCGCCACTTGTTCCCAGTGTTTTTCTGCCACCACTATGCGCGCGCAGCTGCAAGTGACGTAACTGTGACGTCTACTCTGAATTGGTCTATTCATGGGTTTCAGTCACGTGACTTTTTTGTTGCGGCCGCCATCTTTAGGACCTTGCGTAGCCTCTCCTTGGTAATCGGAAACCAAAATAACACTTCACCAACAACGGAAAACAATGGTATTTTAAAAAAAATGGATACTTTAGGATTAGATCCTTATTTACTGTCAAGCGAACTGCTGACTCCACTAAAGTCTAGTGAAAACTTACCAACTTGACGTTTGCTGATTTTACATCTAACTCATACACAATCCCTCTCCGTACACTCGGGCCATTTACAGTTACATTTTCACCTGCTAGAGACCTGTCCATCGGCCGGGATCCATCTGCAGCACCCGGCCTGGATGCTTGCGTACTCACTTTCAGATTCTGGGCCGAATCAACCGGACCAGATGCGACAGCCGTAACTTGCGGCATCCAAGCCGGACTCGGCCCGTTGCGCTGCACGCCAGACTTAGCACAGCTGCATTTCTATACTCTGTACTGTTCATTAATATTTCATTTAAAATTAATAACGTTACCTAGACAAAACGTTTACTTTCATTTTAATTATATAGATTATAATACATAAATAACATGACTTAACAAACCTATAAACATATTATTATGAAAGCAATTTTAAAGTCCATTAAATAACTAGCTTGACCAAGTTGGCATGAGGAAAATTTATTTACAAAACAATTTATTTACAAAACCGTGCAATTACAGCAAAAAACAGCAGTTATACAATAAGTGTAGATAAAATATTTAACACATTTAGCAAAATGACCCATGCATTTAACTTGAATGAATGAGGCATTTATATGTACACTTGGACTGTAACATTTAATAAACTAGCTAGTAAAGTTTATAGACAAACTTTAAGTTGGCTTGAAAAAGCCTAGCCAGAAAGTTTTAAGTAGTTTTAAAAGCTTAAAGTTTGAGGGTTTTCAGTTTTAACTAATTTGTGTGACGTGACATGTGGCCAAGTATGGTGACCCATACTCGGAATTAGTGCTCTGCATTTATCCCATCCAAAGTGCACACACACAGCAGTGAACACACACACACCATGAACACACACCCGGAGCAGTGGGCAGCCATTTATGCTGCGGCACCCGGGGAGCAGTTGGGGGTTCGGTGCCTTGCTCAAGGGCACCTCAGTCGTGGTATTGAAGGTGGGAGAGAGCGCTGTACATTCACTCCCCCGACCTTCAATCCCTGCCGGTACGAGACTCGAACCTTTGGGTTACGAGTCCAACTCTCTAACCATTAGGCCACGACTTCCCCTTTAAACATACGCATCACCATTATATTATATCACCATTATATATTATAATTTGAAGTAGTTTTAAAGTTTTGTAGGCAATACAATCAGGAAAAATAGATAAATAAATAGACAGATAGATAGACACATAGATAGATAAGAAATAGTAAACTAGCATGTTGCTAGCATGATTAGCAAGTGACTAGTATGTCCTTAACATGATTAGCAAGTTACTATCATGTCGCTAGCATGTTTCCAGCATGA